AAAAATCATAAGTGATAGAAAGACATTTACTGAAACAGTGTGGTTGTACCTACGCAGAATTCCCATGGTCGAAGTAATAGATGTCAATTTTCTCTGTTACTTCTACCTTTTTCCCTTCGGGCTTTGGTGGTGTTTTCTTTTTACTTGGTATCCCTTCTGATATTTCGCAGCACATGAAGGGCTAAACGAAGTGCATTGTTATCCACATTAAGTATAATAATTGTTTGTATACTTTTTATATTTAATGTTCGTACTTAATAATAAAAGGAAAAATAAAGTAATGTTATTCTACTAATGTGTATATTGTAATCTACCTCCGCATAATGGGGACATTTTTTCGGTGTTAATTTCACTTCGTAAGTTTTATCTTTTCTTTCCTTTTTTCGCCATCGCCATTTAAAAGGACACGAAAACAGCCGTGATTGCGATCTGTCTGAAATATTATGTTTCGAGAAATATAAATGGATATGTAGGTAATAATAAAAAGGAATCGGTACATCGTTTACATTCTGCTAATTAAAATTGTATTAAAGTGTTCAAGTTATCAATAAAGAGTACATAACTTGTTATTAAATGTAAAACAAAAAAATCAAAGGACCCATTATTGCATGGACAATTTAAGAAGCTGAAGTTAATTACCAGTTCTGCACTTCAAAGGTAAAGTATAAGCTCTGCTAGAAAGTAAAAGAAGAAAGATTAATCGATAATTGTTACATGAATGAAAATATTTCTATTACATCTTGTGAGCATAACATAAACATGGCTTTGAAGATGGTTCCTTCGAACATTTATCTTTCAGTGAATCCTTCTTGTACGATTCTTGTATTGTTCCTGTTACTGCACACTGTTCTAATGTTGCTCCGTGTTGTACAGTTGAATGTATCTCTCGACATTTACAGTCTTTAACTTTGTAAATAATGGCGTATTTATACGTAAATTTTAGCAATTTCCATTGATTAAATTCCTTGTCTACCTACAATTAAATTGTTGAAAAGTGTTGTGCTCTCTCGTCGCAGTATCATGAAGAGGTTCCTTGACATTGGCATTAATCGAATAAATAGGGTCTGACTGCAAGGATGTTATGTTCGAAGATTCTGTTGCATCAGTACATGAACAATCTTCACCAGAAACCATGATGAACACATTTCTTGAAAAGAAATTGAACAAAACTTGAAATTGTGAACGTAACTTGAACTAAAACAAAATTAAACTGTCAAGTGACAGCAACTACATGGACCAATTAATTACATTCATATGTTTGTAATGCCAAAATAATTTTCTCACTGTTGGCAATATTTAACGTTCGGTAATTCGATAAAGTCAAATTTTAAAAAAAAAAA